CCCCGCCCCCATTTGACCGAGTCCGCTTACCACTGAGCACCATTTGTTCTTAAAACATCCGATTTACAGTCCGTATACGAAATGGGAATTGAAGGTAAGAAGAATGATGTGTGTGTGTGTTGGGACTTTTGTCCTGGGAATTGATAATATTCGAGACGCTAGCTTAATGTGTGGGATCTTCAAGTTTATCTTATAATGTCTCCGCTTTTTATGGAGTTGAAAAGTACATTGAGTGCCAGTTTTCCGTGAACAAAGGTGGGGACGGTTGACGCGTATTCAAAAACTGTTCTAATTCATTTGATAGACAAAAGCGTATATCTAAAATTAAACAATAATTTTTGAGGGGGGGGGGATTGAATATTGACGCAACTTGAATTCCTTTTTGCAGTTGCACAGAGTGCCTATTTGATATAGCGATGTCTCTCCTTGGTGTAACTGTGCCTTATACACTGACACACCTGCTTGAGCATCATCGTTGTACTACATTTGCATAGATTTTCTTTGCATTCATCCTCGTGTCTGAATACGCTCTCATCCAATACTGTTGCGACTGTTTTCGTATTGATTTCCCTGCGTCATTCCTGTAACCATAACTAACTGGCCATACAAACAGCGTCGCATAACTTCAATTCATGTATTTGCGCAGTGGCTTGTTTCCCTACTGATGTTATCTCTTGAATCATTTGTCGAATTTTTACTCATTCCATACCGCCTTAACCTCATTCTGTGCGCAGTTCCATCTCCCGTTCCTAACGCCGCCCATGTTTTTAGCTTTACTTGGCTATGCAGTTACCGTCTCTTCTTTTCTTATACCCGTCTTTCTTCTAAGGTAGAACTTCAACTGTTATATGTATGCATATATATATATATATCTGTCCATTGGATCTTGTATTTGGATTCAGTGCCATTCAACTTGGTATTTGTTCCTTCTCCCCATTATGGAGATAAAGATTTGAAGTTGGTACAAACTGACTGTCTATAGTTCGTTTACTAAAGTACGCGCCAAATGTAAAGTCTTCGTTTCTATTTCCTGTTACGAAGTTTCCAACCCGGAGACTTTAAACGAACCTACCAAAGCTCTCTTACAACGCGCTAATCAAAGGCTTAATTTTCTCGTTTCTGTTTCGGTTACGTTTAAAGGGGAGCGCGCTTACGAAAGTTTGTTTATGCAGATAATGCTAACTCACCGCGTCTTTCTTCATCTTTTCTTTGCATTTCAGCATCCAAATATGAGGGGAAGCTATCAACAACAAACTCAAAATCAGCAACATCCAAACTATCCCCGATATCAGTGACACTTAAACCCCCTGGTCTCCTTGGTGTAAATACCCCCTTTGGAATTTATTACTTCTTTTTATCTTAGACTGTCTTTTCTCTATAGAGAAGAATTTAAGCAGACTACATTATATATATATATTTAGTGAGCGCTAACGCATAAGTAGTAGAGGTAATGGTTACATTTACAGAGACGATAATTTTTGAAAATTAAGAAGGGCTTCAGAAAGGGATTTGGCAGCGTTAGCATATCCTTCGGCATCCATAGGCACGGAGGCATAGATGATGCGTTGGGAGCATGTATAGATGGCGTTCACAATAGCGGATTGAGTTTCTTTCAAATTGGCATTGGTTTCCATGCCTTTTAGTAATTTTGAGTAATCATAAGCTTGTTGATTCGGTGTTAGTTTAATATTTTCGATGCTGCTGGCCCCGTTTTGCACGGATTTCGGTTTAGGTTCAGGATTCTGATTGTCAATCTCGTTACAGCTGACGCAAAATAGCTTTCCTTCTCGATTTAGCATCAAAATTGTCTGAAACACACAAAAAACGATAATTAGATAAAGAAAAAAGGGGTGGGGGAAGGTCGGGCGGAACAAGTTTAGCAGGCTCATATTCGCGTGCCTCAAATTAGCGGAAGCGACCGATGACTAAGCCAATGGTGACCTCCCAGTTCGGCTTCTCCCCAATAGGTCAACTCTGTGCAAAAGGCGGATGCAAGGTTGTGAGAGTACCATGTTTACTCATAACTCCATCAACTAGCCAGAAGGGCTAGAGTATTTAAGCAATCAACCAACTTTTAACATTTTATGAGTGGCTTCTACTAACCTCAAATAGGAGCCATGGATAGTATCGAGAAGTCCAAATGAGGAGCCAACAACGCGAGCTATGTGGGACTTCTAATTTACTAGTGTTTACCCCCCTCCCCACTATTGACATTCACAACACTTCTATCCCATAACAATGTGTAGCGTGTCCCCATCAAACTCCTATTCAATAGCAGTATCATTGCTGCCTAAAGTAAGGGATAACCATCACTTATCGAAATGGGACAAGAAAAAGTATGCACAATTTAATCCGAGGCTTACATCTCTAAAGTTAGTTCTTTAGGTCGACAAGACCACGAGATACAGATAGCGCTCAAGACGACAAAGGTAATCATTGAGTCGGGCTAACGACATCTCTAAGTTTAGAAATGACCTACTCAAGCGTTGTTGTCAAATTTTAGATAACCTCGTACATTAAAAAAGTCATAAATGGCCGGATTCCTCTACCTCGCCACCTCTATAATCAGCTATTCATTCTCTTCTTTCTCTTTATAAACTCAGGACTTGACGAATTGAGAATTAAGGTCATTATTGACTAAGTGCCAACAAACGATTAAAGCTAACCCCCACAAGTTAAGATGGCAAGAAATATACCCTATACTTCTAATATACAAATTACACTGTAGTTACCATTTTTCGAGACGAATATTGAAGAGTAGGGGCTTACATCATAAACTTATTGCAAACATTCAAAGAATTTGACATGAATAAAGGGAAGATATTCAAGAGCCGCTCCTGTCAAAAGCACTCCACCATCTAACTTGTTGAACGATACTAGCAGATATACTAATCACTCATGTGTATTAGTATCGTGATATCTAACTTATCACACCCGAACATGCACTCTAAATTATTAATTAATATCCCAAAAGAGAGGTACAAAGATAATGCTGACAAACATGTAAACTTACATCACAGGTAGGACAAGACTTATCAAGCATACGCCATCCCTTGAGCAGATATTGACCCAGTATCTGGGAGATCTTGTCCGATCGCTGACGCTGTCTCTCCTTTTCCATGGAATTTTCTGCTGAAGTGGTCTCTGGAGCCTTCAAGGATGCCTGTTTCTCCTTCTTATTAATCTCCGTGCAGAAAATGCATTGCTCTTCTCCCTCTGGGGTTAGAAATATTAGAGCCTGAAGAGCGTAATGAAAATAAGCATTTAGATAGAGAAGAGAGGTATCGGATTTTCCGCATTTAAGAAGTTAATAACATTATAATGCACAACATCAGTGTGTACTTAAACAACAGAAGTATCAAGATAGCGTGACCTTTTAATCAAGTCCTGGAGAAATAATAGGTACTTTCATATGGGGAGTAAATGCTCCGGCAAACTTTCAATCTCATCGTCTATTTCAAACTAGCCCTATTGGAAATTTTACGATTTAATAGTTAGGATAACTCACTATGATAACCGAATAAATTACGATGACGCCAGAGGTGCCAAACACTGAGTCCAATTGACCCGAATAAGGCAAATACAAACCACAACAGGTTTAACTCCTATTCGTTTAATTCATTCGATAAATTCATCACAAATGAATTAATTAACAGCACTTTCAACTCCCTCTAAGCTCCAATACCGCCTTCCTTTCAATTATACTAGGCATTACAGTCCCCAATAATATAGTCACCCAAAAAATAGCTGATTCTCACTGCCAAAGAGCTGTTTTAAAAAAATGGACTCACATTACAGCCACTGCAGCACTTTTCTGTTATTCGCCATCGCTTGAAAATGTATTCAGAAATCATATCCGGCCTCTGGTTAAGTCTTTTAGCTGGCAAATCTGTTGTTTCAGATGCTATCGATTCTAATAGGGGGTATCGTGCCTTGATAGCGTTGATTTTAACTTCTGTTGAGAGACTGTCCCACATTGTTTTCGATTTTTTTAAATGTAGTTTGCCAGCATCGCCACAGAAAACACAGAATGGAAGTCCTTCTTCGGTTAGAATCAAATTTGTCTAGAGGTAAAACACAAAAAAGAAGCCTACTTGACAGTGCAAACAGCGATTTAATAGAGCCTTCGGACCCTTGAGAACACTTGGATCAATTGAGCGATTACATATAAGCGATTTCTCAATCTGCGTATCCAGTTTAGAACGCGTCTCCGTATAAACAACTTCAAAAGAATCATCAGAATAATCGACAGATCCACTCTTATCGGAGCTTGAAGGCAAATCACCACAACAGTTATTATTATTCGGATGGGTATTTTCAGTTGAATCCAGTTCGTCTTTTGGTTTATTTACATTGTCAACCTCACTGCAAGCAACACAGTAAGTGTTACCATCTGGATTCAGAAATAAAATGGTCTAAAGAATAAAAAAGTGAGTTAAAATTTGGAAATGACCGTTGACTAAGAAATGGTTAAAACCTACATCACAAATGGTACAGTTACTTCCAAGCATTCGCCACCCCTTGAGTAGATAATCTCCCATAAGTTCAGAGATTTTAGAAGATCGCTGATATCTCAAATCCCTTTGTGCAAGAACTTCATCAGAAACGTGGTCCATCACTGTTAGAGATAAGGCTGACCTTAATTATGAAAGCCCTTGAACATGCGATTGAGTGAATAACCGTAATCCATATCAAAAATTGTATTAGATTTATTAATAATCATTTTAAATAATTTGTAAATACTCTCAGAAAATTTATTGATTTCTAATATGTGGGTGGTTATAACAAATATTGATTTCCGGTGTCTATTAAATTTGGGTATTGATTTGATTTATAATTAGTATTAACATATAAACATTTAAAAGTTGTATAAATTTGACAAAAAAGTCAAAACCTGGGTATTTTTCTAAAATTTGTAAGTGACAGTCTATCAAATTTCCTTTAACAAGATATATAGGACAATATTATCTTATGTCTTATAACATTTTGATTCCATAATAAAAGATAACTTATGCCTTTTTACAACAATTCGTTCGAAATCTTTGATCTATCTTCTTCGGTTCATTTATTTTTATGTTCCTTGTCATTATCTGCTGTCTAACAAATTCAGCAAATAACAGTTAATGACGAAGGGTGTGCGTTAGACTTAGCTCCACGTGGTGCATCCTGGGCAACGTATACTCATGCGACGAAAAAGTCTACCAAACGGCTGTTGACTTCTGACTTCAAACCTACATGGCCGACTGCATGTCATATTCGACCCCTTTCACAGTACTTATCTTACCTATTCTCTGCCTTCGTATCTGTCTGTCTCCTGTAAATCTGTGAATCATTTTCTGTCCCCCTCTCGCCTTTTTGTCACTTTAATGTTTCTTCTCCTCTCCATGAAGCCCGAAGTCAGCTAAAGGGCTAATGATAACTATCAAAACGCCTGCCATTTGAAATAATTAAATAAATACAGTTAATGACGAAAAATTCTGAATTATAAGAAGCTTGGGAATTCTAGCATGATTGGTTTACATTCATTACAAACGCTACGTCTTTTTTGATATTTTGTGATTAAAGATTTTTCATTTGTGCCTGGCATAAATTCAAAGTGTACATCGCTTGCTGAAGGAATAGTTGGTATCTGGATTCAACAAACAATTTTGCATCTCACGTTTATGAGCGCTTAACAAAAGAGTATGGTATGCACATGAAAGAAATTGTGTGGGATATCACTGCCATTGTCTCCATGTAGATTAAAGTAGGACTATGTTGCATTTGACAAAATGGTACCAGTTCAATAAACCAGCTGATCGACCCCTTTGCCCAGAACATAGCTACAACAAGAATTGAATTAGAAAGCATAAACACAATGAAATGAATATATATATCATATTGATTTTCTTTTAGAAATATAAGAAAATGACAAGAAAATGAAAATATACAGGAGCCCCAACATGATAAACCAGTTTACCCAATAATTCCCCGGTTAACCCAAGCGCTTATTGATATTAAACTAATGATTCAGAAAGATTCAATTATTCAGAAGTAAAAAATTGACTGTATGTCCGGGGTTTATAGTGTCTATCTTAAATCTGTATAGAAATAAAAAAACATTTTTTTGTAATTTTTCAATTATTTTGTTTACTATTCTTGGAGTTGGTACTTTTTAATTCTTGACGGAAATAATAAAACATGAATTGTATTTTCTGGAATGGTATTATTTCAGTAAGATTTATATCTTTAATATTAGAATATAATTCTTCAACATAACTAGGCAATGCCTATCGTAGTTAAGTCCGGCTTGTTTCAAAAATTTGGTATATGAACCATTATATGTAATCTATCTAAAATCTTTGTTACTTTATTTACAATAAAAATGGGCTTTTACAATGCGGATGTCCAAGAATGGGCAATAAATCAGTAGGGAAGTAAGTTTGATTGATTATTCAAAATTGATCGAATTGATTTTAAAAATTTTACAGTTACTAGAATAATCAGTTTTAAAACATTAAAATAATACAACTTTATACCTATTGACACGAGTATGATGTGATCGTTCTATAAATATTTTAAATTGCGATGTTCGTATTTTTCCAGTACATTATGCAACTGCTATTTCACTCTCTTTAAATAACGTTAATTTCTTTAAAAAACTTTCAAATAATAGACATATATCAATTTACCTTCTTTTACTTAACCAATTAACTTGGATAACGTTGTCCCCGTAGGTGCGTTCATTTTAACACTTCTCCCAGTTTCCTTTTATCTCGAGCAATGAGTTCTTTCGAGGAATTATTTGAGCAGGCAGTCAAGAATGCAAGGGAAATAAACGATACCACCCTAAAACCAATTAAGGGTATTGAAACAATAATTACTCATGGTGGTCATGATCCCCTTGCACTACCTGATATGGGTCATCCTGTAGTTTCGCCCATAACGCTTTCTACGACGTTTCAACAACTTGCACCTGCAACCGGAAAAGTATCATTGTTTGTTTCATAATTTTATTTGTTTCAGTATGAATATTCTCGTTCTGGAAATTATTCAAGACATGCGCTTGAAAAGTGCCTCGCTGAATTAGATAATGGCTCAGCCGGTTTCGCTTTTGCGTCCGGCCTTGCAGCCCTTAACGCATTACTCCAGATCTTAGATACTGGTGATCATGTTGTTGCTTTTGACGATCTCTATGGAGGTAGTGGAAGGTACTTTCGAAGAGTTGCCAGCAAGTTTGGCATCGAATTTTCTTACGTTGATATGCGTGACCTAGAGGCTGCAAGGAACGCCATCAAGACGAACACTAAAATGGTCTTCATTGAAACCCCTTCCAATCCACTGATGCGTTTAGTTGATATCTCGGCAGTTTCTCACATAGCTCATGGGGCCAATCCGAATATTCTTGTCGTTGTTGACAACACCTATTCAACACCATATTTTCTTGTGCGCATTCACCTGTAGTTTACCTTATCTCAATTAATAATAGTTTATAATTACATTCTTTTTTTAAATTAGCGACCTCTCGACCTTGGAGCTGACATTACTCTTGCATCCCTCACAAAGTACATAAATGGTAAGTGCTAATTTCCGAACCTCATGAGCTCCACTTTAGGACACTCGGATGTGGTAATGGGTTCGTTGGTAATTAGGAAGAACCTGCCTCAAGTGGAGACTCAATTAAGATTCATACAAAATGCAGCTGGAGGTATAGCCTCTCCCTTTGACTCCTACCTCTGCTTGCGTGGTCTTCGTACTCTTGCTGTGAGAATGCGAGCTCATATGATGAACGGACTGACAATCGCTAATTTCTTGGCTGCTCATCCGAAGGTGGAGACTGTTCTACATCCCGGTAAGCTATTCAATGATTTCTGTCTTCCTTCGCCTTATCAGCCAGAAGAATGACCAAACATAACAGCTTATTACTAGTGTTTAAGAGAAGCCTCTCACCGTGGGAATTTCTCAACGAAGAGGTGGTTAAGTTTCATTTGTGATCACTTTACTTGGAGGCAATTTTGCGTATAGTCGTGTCCCAAATATCATTCAGAGTTTATCAATGCCATTGCTGACGTTTTGTAAACAAAGGCTGGAAATAAGAAATCCAAAATATTTGATTATCTGTATTAGAGTCTTTTCTTTTTCGTTTTTTTCCTTCCACATGTAAATGTACATCTATTCCCATGGTCTAGATAGGATGAGAATGCGTTTTTCTGCCATTGTTCTATTATAACTACGTTAATTGATCTGTCTGCCACTTTTAGAGGCAATCGTTTTCGGCTCTGGTGCTTTAATCCTCACTTTTCTGTCTTTAAGTTGGTAAGCAGCGACTGTCTTCTTTTAGTTTTTATGAAGACCTTTCCAACTATCACTATTTTCAATACTTCAAAAAAAATTGAGAACAAATGGAGATTTCACTTCAAATCTGCTTCAATTAGATGCCTGAGACGCCTATTATAGTGCCATTGCAAGACAATTAAATCAGTTTTCGTAAACGAAAATCGCTTGCAGTTTCATTGCCACATTTCACAAACTTGGAGAAGGCTTACATCTCCCATTGGTCAAGATGAAAGTGGGCGGTCCCGTACTATCATAATTTCTGCATAGTATTTGAATTAATTTGAGAGGAGATTTAATATTTCCTTTTGGGTATTTTCAGAAGTTGTCTTTTTTGGCAATTGTTGAAGCCCTTCTGTAATCCTGTACACTTTTATATCGCCTGCTTTATTGCATAAAGACGCTTGAGAGAAGGCCTTTATATTATGCGCGCTTATTTATACTGTAATTTTTTTTGCAGGCCTAAAGACGCATCCTCAGCATGAACTTGCCCGCAAACAAATGGGCGGTTTCAGTGGCATGGTTTGTGTCTACCTCAAGTCTGATGCCAAGGGAACTGCCAACTTTGTCAAGGGCCTCAAGGTACGCTCTTTGCGCATTAGGATCAACTTTTCTAGGGAATTCAGCTAAAACTAGTCCTAGAATTCATTTCTTGCAGATCTTACCACGCCTTCTTATTTAGAAATGCTAAGAAAACTTGGTTAGTGTAAAATAAGGCATTCTTGTGCTGCTATTTTCAGAAACTCGTATTCTATCACCATTTCATTACGCTGACCAGAAGTAAATAGAACATTTAACTACTCCGTTGATCACTTGATTTATAACGGCTTCAGTGAGTAAGAAAGTTTGAGATCTCTAATATCACAGTTCTCTGTCCAATATTTTCATGTCAACTTCAAGTGTTTGTGGAGGACACTTTAATTTGTTTTATCATTCTTTTGACTATTAGTCACCGGTGTCCGTTTTGTATGTGTGTGTATGTTTGTTTGTGTGGAAAGGAGGTCAAAATTTAGCGTAAACGTATTTCGAACAATGGGTAGGTGAGTGAGTGACTGGCTTTCTCTACTTCCCCCTCCCCCCCCCCCCCAC